CTCAAACGGAGCTTTACAAACAATGTGAATCCAAACACACTGATTTAGATACAACAATAAAACAAGTGTATTGACTATGGAAAGAGAGATTTTAAGTGATTACAAGTAATGTGGCATAAAAGTCAGATCTGGTTAAAAGAAAGAAGAGGTAAAACACAGCTAATACCTAACTTAACAAGCTAAGTGAATTCAAAGCAACGGTCTCTCTCACCATGCATCCAACAATGTTACTGGCTGAATACTTCAGTCAGGATCTCCCCCCAGCCCCGTGCTGCTTCCTTTCTTCTTCAAGTGTTGTTGATGCTGTTGGTATAAAGAAAGGGAGAGAGAGATTTGGGGCTCTTGCTTTCTCCTCTTAGAACCCTTTCTCTTGCGCAAGGACCATCTCCAGCTGCTGTCAACGAGACACAGAAAGTCTGTGTGGCCAGGAACCTCAAGCTGCTGCTTTGTCAAAATGTAGATACTTTGTCCATACCTCCCACCCCCTCCAAAGAATGGCCACTTAACCAGGTGACAATCCATTTAATCTTGTTGACACTTGGTTGAGGCATTGGCTAGCCTTTCAGCTCTGGGGAACTGGTTTGTGACCACCCTCCAGAACATGTTGGAACATGCCCCAATATTATCATAGAATCATAGAATATCAGGGTTGGAAGGGACCTCAGGAGGTCATCTAGTCCAACTCCCTGCTCAAAGCAGGACCAATCCCCAATTATCACACTGTAGAATCTTATAACTCTACATACAGTGTTGCCACACATATTTTACAAGGACAATAATGATCAGCAAATTATGAGTTTTCAAATGATTCCTCACAAGGTCTACTTTGTACGAGATTTATCATAACTCTATGAAAGGGGTGACTATAGTGGTACAGACTGCCACAGGGACATGCTTCATGACAGAGTTTGCTGCAGCTGAAGATGGAGGAATGGTCAATTTCCTGCCCCTTCCCCCCAGATGTGTAACACCATCAATTGGAAGGGACCAGTAGGTCATCTAAGCTGATCTGCTGGAGAGCACTGGCCCCCAGCACCACCCAGGACTCCCTGTCCCAGGCCACCCATGGGCCACCACAGGTAAAGCCCCAGGCAGGGTAAAATTCAGCCTGAGACTAATTATTGACCATGGCAGTGCCCCTGCGTGGTGCTGAGCAGGGGTGATTGATCCAGCCTAGCAGAGCCTGCAGATGCAGGGCACAGGTGTCCCAGCCATGGACGTGTGAGCACTACAGGGAACAGTCTGGAAAACATCCGGCCTTAATTCATAAACCAAGTAACCTGAGATCTTTGGTGAAAAGGCTGCAGTGAAGAAATGGTCAATAGCCTCCTGGCTCTGGTTACTGACAGGGCAATTCTGGTGTGCGATGGTGTGGCCCAGGGCATCGTCTCCATAGGAGATCCCAATGGGATCTACACACAAGGATCTCCACATTCCTCCCCTGCATGGAGAGAAATCTGCAAACCTGAAAACCTTTTGTAGGGCTTGTGGACCCAGCTGAGTACTCCCTGCTAAGGGTCGTAGGGTGGCGCCAAAGAGCCTGTTGGAAAGACTCTGACCCTGGCCTGCTGGGGGGCTGTGAGCATCTCCTATCCCTTCTTGCGCCTCAGTTTCTCCCGTGCCCCATGGGAAGAATGACACTTGTGCTGTCAGGCCTATGCATGACGGACAGTCCCGAAGAGCTGGGTGCTATAACTGTTATCGTGGGCAGCGCCCGGCTGGAAACACCAAAGACAGAGCTGGGAAAGGCGCCCTGGGCCCTCCAGCCCAATCCCATTAGAAACACACAAAGAACAGCCAGGAAACGATAGAGCTGCCTTCATCTGCCAACGCCAGGGGCTACAGGTTTTTTTCCAGCTATTGCACCACTTGGACCAAGGAGCCCTGGGTGTAGTCTGTGGGTTACACTGATTGCTATCAGTGCTGGGTGAAACAACATGCCCTGATCCTTCCTGTGTGTGAGATAGACAAGGGTGCGGTTCTGATCACCCTGATGCCAGCTCCCACCGGACAGTGTGTACATGATGCACAGAGTGTCTTTGACTTCCTCCTGCATAAACACATTGTCAGAGCCAGACACCTCCTCGGCTTCTGCTGCCCCATTGGGTCTATCAATCCACAAAGGGGGCTCAGCCCTGTCCTCTGTCTGTGGGGTCCCTGCCCTGTCTGGGGAGGTGCCATCTACCTGGGGGTATTCACACACACAGAGCCAGGAGCATCACTGGTCCAGCCATTCCTGCATCCCGCCTCCCCCAGGGCCAGTCCCGGATGCTTCCAGCCAACATCCCCAATAGCCTTGTATCCAAGTCAGGTGGGTCGAGCACTGGCAGGATGGGGAGATGGGTCTAGAATGGATGTACGGGGCTCTAAATGAAACTAGAAGAGATCTGTATGAGTGTGGATGGATCTAAAATGGACCCACATGTAGCTATTCGGATTGGATAGATCTAGAATGGAATTGCATCAACTTAAATGAATCTAGAATGAATGTAAATAGAGTTAGTCAGGTATTCACACATCTGCATTGACAGGGCCTCCCAGAGGATTCAGGGGGCCTGGGCAAAGCAATTTCAGGGGCTTCTTCCATAAAAAAAGTTGCAATACTATACAATACTATATTCTTGTGGGGGCCCCTGTGGGGCCTGGGGCAAATTGCCCCACTTGCCCCCCCCTCCCCCTCACCCGGGCGGCCCTGGGAAAAATAAACATTTAAAAACCTTCTGCATCTCGGCACAAACCCAGTTTTGAGAAAACTTCTTTTCAAGTCACCTTTACAAGGTATCACTGGTTCTCAGCATCAGCTAGTGCTAAAAGGCACTAAAGCTCATTAAAAGAGTTGGACAAATATTTTCCATCAAAACTTTTTTTGATCAAAAA